GCATTGCAGCCCCGGGATCCCCCGCACCGGGGGGCAGCGGTCCCCGTCGCAGGGTCGATGCACCAGCACGGAATGGGGCTGCACCTCTGCTGCCATCACAGCACAGGGGGAAATCGCACCTAAAAGTCCTTAAAATTAATGGAAGAGCTTCAAACAACAGCTACTGGGGTGGCTCTGCGCAGCAGATGGAGCCTGGCTGCGTTCAACGGCAGCCTCTGCTCCACTGAGCACACCTTCCCCGGGTTACTCCACCGACTTCGGTTTACTCCACATCTACTTGACCACTCTCACCTCCGCCGAGGGAGGTATCATCTCATTAGTACACAGACATATCTCAAGTATGCAGTGATGAATTCCCCCCGGAGCTTCAAAAGCAATAAATGTGACCTTTGCATGTTCCTGCCATAAAATACCAGGAACACCTCCAGCTCCCAAGATAGAAGCTGTGGTGGGCATATGTGAGCAGCATACACCATATGGATTAAGTCAAGGGAATACTTAGAAACTTCGACTCAGCCTTCAGCAAAATTGATTGCGGCAACGTTTTTAGCAATTTCTTCGAGGATTTTCCGTGTGTTTATGAAGTGCCCATCACCGCAAACGGATCTTTCAGCCTAAGTCTTTGAAGTCTCTCTAGCCCTGCTCCTACAATAGCTTCGGATTTAGTGGAGATCACAAAATGCTGCATAAAATGTTAATATAAAAATGAAGACTTACGGCGTGGCTCCTCTCTAAAAGGAAAGCCCTGTGCTGCCTGGAGCGGCACGTACATAAATCTGGTTCGAGGTTTCATTCAGGCTCCTCCAGACTCACTTTTTTTTTACTATCTCATATTGCAGCAGCACCAAATAAAACATTTAGGAATGCTTAAATATTGACTTCATCCCTAGCGCACAGAAGTTCTTTAAACAGTCCATTTCTACTGAGTACAGCAACAGCTACTGAGGCATCTTGCTGGGGGGTTTAAAACTATTTAAAGCTGTTTTACGTGAAAAACTTTTGCTTTTAGCAACTCTGCCTAACTGAGAGAGGAGCCGGTGGAGCACAGAGCGCTGGAGCTATCTGCAGGTTTATCTGATCTCGGTGATAAAATTCCATCCCTGGGGTGACCTAAAAAGGACTGGAAAAGGCATGTGCTACGTGGATCAACGCCGCCGCGCTAAGCGAGATGGATGATCTCATAGGTGTTTTCCAGCCCTCCTCCCCGCGGCTCCTCAAGCGCCAGTCAGAGATCAGGCTCCTTCTTTGTCATTAAATATTTCGGGAATGACATATTGTGGCCCCAGACTGCCCAGTGACAACAGCTCAGCTAAACACCCAGGAGGAATTTAAACTTCTGCATATCTCTTGATGCTGGGAGATAACTCCTGAACGGGAGGAGAGGCTGCAATTCTCCAGTTAAGTCACGTTAATGATCTCAGAGATTAGCAAAGTTGGTTTGGAAATGTCTGTAGGTCGAGGGCTTCCGTGAGAAAGCACTTTTTATATGGACTGCCTTCCGACCCACCCCCCAGGCAGGCGGCGACCTGGGCACCCAAATCCCACCCCACCTGCACGGCTTCTCCCATATGGGAAGCAGACAGAGCGGAGTTCAGGATGTGACCAGCGACAGATACACTGCGACGGTTTTCCTCTATGTGCATCCAAACCCCATCACTTCCAGGGGCAGGAAAATGCATCCCCCCCACGGAAGCCCATTGCCGGCGCAGCCCTGATGCCCCCCAGCCTCTGGGTCCGGTCCTCCAGGAGCGCCAGGCACCACCGGCACGGGTGATGCGACCGCGGTCCCGCAGCCAGGAGTGCCAGCACCCATCCTGCTCCCTACCTGCCGGACCCCTGGCTCACTGCGGCACCGGGGACGGGTTATTAATCAATGCCACGTGTTTTCCCTTTCAAGTCACTGGAAAAAATGCACTAGCCCTCGCCCTGCGAGGGAAGTCGGCAGGGCTGGGGGATGGAGTGAGATACCAGAATCCTTGGAGCTGAAGCCATACCCGCAGAGGATTTCACATGCCAGAGGCTGGTTTTCAAAGCTGCTCTCTCCCCAGCATATTTAAGGCTCAGGCAGTAATTACAGCACTCTTCCAGCAACAGAAATGGGCTGGAGACTCAGCTGATGGACAGAGATGCTCTCTGTGTAACCACTGCTGAAATCCCCTGCGCTCGTTATGAGCATCCAGAGCCGGTTGCGGCAGGAGGGCTCAGAGGCTTCGCCAGAAACCGTGGTCCCATCCAGCCTGGTGCTGTACAAACACTGCCTAAGGACCGTCCTCGAAAAAACTGATAAATGACAAAGAGCTGGAGGAAGAAAAACGCAGCTTGTTCGAAACTGCACCGAGGGTGAACGGCAAAGCACCGCCTGTACCCCACCGCCTGTATCCCAGCGTCGGGTGCGGCTGTGCTCGTGGGGATGCTGTGATGCTGCCCACCCAAGGTGCCTGCAAGGAGCGGGGCGACCGGTGGTACGTGGCCCTGGTGATGCCCAAGCTCCTCTCCCAAACTCAACACACTCCCAAGGCAGCGCCCATTGCCTTATGAAATACGTACAAAGGGGAAGTGGAAACGGAGACAACCCTTCTCTGGAGGCCAGAGACACTTCTGAGGGCCACCCAGCTCTGGAGACGGTGAGGGAAATGCAGCAGGAGATACAGGGTAAGCACGGTGGAGTCGGAAGGACGTCCAGTGTGGTACAAACTGGTTTCTTGGTGCAGAAACAGCAGCTGTGCAATGTTAGGAAGGGTGGATCCTCTGAAAGGTACTTGAGCAGGATTGAGCCACTCAACTTTGCCCAGGAGCACCCTCTGCTCTGCCCAAGGTCTTGACTGTAGCTGACAGTATCTCAAAACCTGGGTGTGCTAACAACAGAGCTGAGGCTGCTAATATAGGACCAGTTAATGAGGGCAAAGTTTCTGCAATTTGCTAGTGATCATAGAATCACAGAATGGTTTGGGTGGGAGGGGACCTTAAAGATCATCCAGTTCCAACCCCCCGGCCATGGGCAGGGACACCTTCCACTACACCAGGTTGCTCAAAGCCCCATCCAACCTGGCCTTGAACACTTCCAGGGATGGGGCAGCCACTTCTCTGGGCAACCTGTGCCAGTGCCTCATCATCCTCAGAGGGAAGAATTTCTTCCTTAGATCTAATCCAAATCTCCCCTCTTTCAGTTTAAAGCCATTGCCCCTTGTCCTGTCACTACACGTCCTTGTCCAAAGCCCCCCTCCAGCTTTCTTGTAGCCCCTTTAGGTACTGGAAGGCTGCTGGAAGGTCTCCCCAGAGCCTTCTCTTCTCCAGGCTGAACAGCCCCAACTCTATCAGTCTGTCTTCATAGCAGGGCTCCAGCCCTCAGATCATCTTCGTGGCCTCCTCTGGACCCGTTCCAGCAGCTCCATGTCCTTCTTGTGTTGGGGTCCCCAGAGCACTGAAGGAGGGGTCTCACAAGAGCGGAGCAGAGGAGGAGGGTCCCCTCCCCTGACCTGCTGGCCACGCTAGTGGTATTATGGGCTCCACAACATTTAGATTACAGGAAATCCAGTATACAGGATACATATAATAGATAATTAGCCAAAATCTAAAAGCAGCCTCTACAACTTTCTCGAGGTCCCAGAGATCGTGGTAACAAAACTTAGTTGTAAATCATGAGCACATCAGAAGAAGGGAGATCTTCTGCAACCAAGACCAGCCAATGTGGTGGCCAAATTCTGATCGTGTTTATGCCCCGTGCGAGCTCCCTGAACTAAATCTTACTGCGATCTTAGTGAATCTCGCCGCAGCTCTTATCCAGCAGCCTGTGAGACTCAGCACCACCTTCCTGTTCCGCAGCACATGATCCCAACTGCTCAACCACTCGATGACATACTTTGTCCCACCCTCGAAAGGCTTTTGCAACGGGGAGTAATTCTTCATGTAGGCACGCTTCAGCTTTCACTGACCTCACAATGTGAATGTTTTATTGTGTTGTTATTCTTAATTCTTACCTGTACAGCAGCAGCCACACCACAGCAACCCCGACCTAACAAGGACTGGAAAATCCCTCCTCAGTCTGGCAGGAGTACATACCCACGTGTCTGTGCCAACAAATCTGCCCAGCAGACCGTGAGAAGCACTAGTGCCAATGGTCAAATTCCAAGTCCAGGTACTTGCACTCAACTGAAACGCACTAATGGATGTTAAGAATGTGCAGTGACGTAAGAGCAGTGATGCAGGCAGTGTTATGGTGGGATATTTAGAGACACCTGGGAAAGGAGAGACAACCCAGGAGCAGCATTTCTGAGAATTATACATTTTGACTAGGAAATCTTCTTTCCTCTGTCTCCATCTGCCCAGTTGGCTACCATTGGAGAAATGTTGGAGAAATGCTTTCAGATCTGGCCAGTCAAACGAAGAAGAAACAGGCTCAACACACCCATCCCGACCAACACCTCCTCCTGCAGTACAGATGCTGCAGGGATCAGTACGGGAGATGGTGATGGTCATGCAACCAGAGCGCGGTCATGAGTTCTCTGGATCTATCGGTTTCTTCCCTCTGAAGGTGGTGAGGTAGTGGAACAGGTTTTCCAGAGAAGTTGTGGCTGCCCCATCCCTGGAAGTGTTCAAGGCCTCGTTGGATGAGGCTTTGAGCAACCTGATCTAGTGGAAGGTGTCCCTGTCCATGGCAGGGGGGTTGGAACTAGATGATCTTTAAGTCCTTTCCAATCCAAACCATTCCATGATTCTGTGATCCTGCAAACCAGACCCCTGCTCCCTGGGGCACACTGCACTGTTCCTACCATCACCTGGATTGCCCCGTTCTTCTTGCACCATGTCCCAAAAGCCCTACATGAGCGAGAAGCATTGAGATACACCCAAGATCCTGCACTGCAGCAATCCACACGATCTCTTTTGAAGAGCCTTAGTGAAGACTTCTTCTTCAATGCCTTTTGTTCCATGCAATTACTGAAAAAGCCTGAATGCCCACTCTGAGATGCCCAGGCAAGGAGAAAAACAACCGCAATACTCACCCATCTCCTTGAGCTCCATATTGACAAGTTCCAACCAGCAAGCATCGAGCTCGTCCAGGTCATAGCGGCTCACTCCTTGCAAGTAAGTCCTCGTAGCTTCCGAAATCTCGGAGCCAGGCAGGCTACTCGGTGAAACCTGGGAAGGCGAGTTCTCCAGCTGCGGTATGATCCTGGAAAAAAAGAAGGAGATGTTGAGAAAGAGCTACAACTTGCAAAAGTATCCCCTTTCTTGCCATGGAGAGTGCGACCATGCCGTGTACAAACCCGACTCTTAAGAACAAAAGCAAAATCAGCAAAATCAAAGGGGTTTTGTGCACTCAATGTTGTCTCCTATGCCTCGGATGCTCTGAGGACCAGAACTCAGCACCTTCCCAGAGACTGGTCTGGGCACCTTATGTGATGGTTTGAGTCGGGCTGCATCGAAACAAGCTGATTTTCAGAAGACGCTGAGCACAGCCTGGCTGCCAGCTCCCCTTCCCAGAACTTCAAATCTGCAGTTTGTGCTCTTCCCAGTGTCCCAGAAAAAGCAGCGTGGGCAGGTGGCAATGCGGCGACATGGCTCCGGCATCGTGCCCGCTGCTGAGGGCCAGCGTGCATCCCACCGCAGCGTGGCTCCGGCTCCCACTGGGCTGCCTTCCCACACAGCCCCACGGCCACCAGCCTCAGGCTGCCAACAGGAGGGGAAGGAGCAGCCTGGGAACCAGGAATTTGGTTTTTGACCTGTGCCTCCACTTGCCTCAATCTATTCTTCCCTGCAGACCGGTGGCCTAACACCAATCCCTTCAGAAATAAAACCAGTACTGGGAAAGCACCGAGCATGCAGCTCTGCGCTGGGCTCTCCGCAGAAACACCCAATTCCCCTGCACACCATGAGAAATTAAGCCATTTTCCCATTTTGCCTGGCTCCTTTCTTCCTCCTCATCTTGCGTTACTACCAGCCTGGTGGCAGCATCTTCCTACGTATTTGGATTCTCCAGTCAAATAACTCAACCTATGGCTGCAGCCACCAGCTTCAACCTCATGTTGTCCCCTCTGATGTTAGAGGGTCTTTTCTCCCCATGGGAGACGCTCACGCAGGAACACCACGTCAGGGCAGAAACAGCCTGTTTGGGAGAAATACATTATCCTGCCTGTGAAAACGGGAAATTTGATGTGGAAAGCACATGCCAGCACAGGACCAGGGCCGTTAAACAGCGATGCGCTTGCCCAGGAGCCAGTGGTCCTACTGGAGAGGAGGGACCGTGACACCAACCCATCCCCACTCCATGGCCGCAAAGGGGCATCCCACATCCCCAAAAAGGCAGGATGCACCCGAGCTATGGGATAAACCTGTGGACAGGGCTACGGCAAGGGCTTCTGCTCACCACACTGCCGACCCAGCTCCTCGCACGCCGCGGGCAGGACGGTGGCACGCAGGCGCTGGCTTTGGCACCACCACGCGCTCTGTGCCCGCTGAACGTGAGTCGTTGCTCAGCGGGTGAATCCAAGTGCCACGCTCTGTCCTAGTTACATTCAGAAACATGAGCTTGGCCAGTGCCTTCTCGCCGCCGTGCCCTGTCCGCAGAGCTCAGCGGGAGCAGAGGTGTCTGCCCAGTCTCTCCGGAGGTCTCCCAGGACTGGAGGCAGCCC